CCCACCAGGATTTCAGCACTTCCTCTTTGTTACGTTCCCCTTGATCCTGCCCTACCAGGTCTCCCACACCCACCTCCCCACCAATCCAAGGCACCTTTTATGGGAACTCAAACTTCTAACCGTGGGGTTGGTAGCCCTGCCATTCAGGGCTAACCTCCCAGACTCTGCCTGAGGCGTCATTCTGTAGGTCAATAACCTGGGGAAAAGAAGTGGTGGAAACCAAACTGGGACTCCGTTATCCCCTATTAAAGAACTCACTGAAGGCAACAGAATCCACGAATTAAAAATCATTCAACCAAGAACTCTAATTCCCTAGGATGTGGAAATTGTCCTAGGCGGGTCTTCAGAAGCCACATTTACACAATTTGAGAAACAAAGGAAAAGAAATCCGATCTTTCTTCAGAAAAGTGACTACTTGACCTAAGAGAGGAAGGAATTTTCTGCTCCTTCAGCTTCTCCAAGCCACTCAACCAAAAAACATTGCGTGGAAGTTTACATGCACAGATTCAAGACAGGATCTCTGGCAAGCCTCTTTCTTCTAACTAGATTTCCAATGCCCTAACTTCCTTCTCCTCTACAGGTACTGTGACTCAGCTCCTGGAGTTTGTAGGTGACAATTACAGCTATTCCTTTTACTATTACATGGCTGGAGTATCTTATATTCTCAAGATGCAAAGGCTGGAGGAGGTTAAAAGGCTATTCTGAGTTCCCAGAGACCTGCCGTCTTCGATAACCTCAACCCTGGCAGTGGTTTTTTTAATGAATGGCTTCTAGGTGAAGGCAGAGTCCTACACCCCAATGCAGGGATTTAGCCAGCTTTGAATACAGGGACATTGAGGCATCGGTGGTATTGGCGAATCCCCCAACGCTACCAAGTCAGGAGTCCTTTCCGCCTCCTGCAGGCTTTCGTCCATCCTCCCGCCGGAGCTGCTGGCAGGGTGCTCGCGGGGGAGCCGCCACCCCTGGAGCCCGACGCGGGGGGTCCCGGGCCCCTGTCCCCGGCTGCCGCCCAGCCCCCACCGCAGGGCCGCAGGGCGGAGGCCGCGAGCGCGGAGTGGCAGCCCTCGCCCGGGCGGCCGGGCCCGCAGTGGTCACGTGACGAGTCAGCCCAGCGGGGCGGGGCGGAGCGCGGCGGGGCGGGGCGGGGCCGGGCCGGGCCGGGGCTGCATAAATAGGCACCCGGCCGGCTGCTGGCAGCGGCGGTCGTCCCCGGTGGAGTCCGAGCTTGCGGCGGCTGCAGGACTGAGCTCTCGAAGGCAGGGTCAGGTGAGTGCCGCCAGGCGGGCCCGGTCCGGCGCCTCGGCTTCCCGGGAGCCCCGCGCCGGGGTCTGCCGACTACGCGGCCGCGGCGGAAGTGACCTTGGGAGGGGGATGGGAGCGCCTACCCGGGCTGCACCCGGGCGCCTGGCCCCGCGGCCGGTCGCCGCGCAGGCCCAGGGGCCCTCGGCTGGGTCCGTGGGTTTGGGCGGGGTGTGGGGGTCGCAGCTAGCGGGAAGCAGCGACCCTCGAGACTGGGGCGAGCAGAAGCGGCACCCCGCACACGCCTGGAGGTCGCCATAGTGAGGGAAACAAAGGCAAAAATCTCGCCGGGCGCCCCCTCCCCCACTTAGGCGGAGAGTGCCCGCTCTCCTGGCCGCCCCCGGCCCGGGTGCAATTGCATGAGCCCACCAGCCCGGCCTGCCCGCCTCTCCGGCGGAACTGTGGAGGCTACTGGGGTCGAGCTGAGGAATTTTCCGGGGAACTCCTAGGGAGGATCATTCGAGGAAGAGGATGGCCACGATCCCAGTGACTTTGGGCCAGAATCTGAGCTCCACCCAACCCCTTTCCAACTGCATGACCTTGGGCTGGGGCAGCATACTTTTGTTTCCTCCGGGCAAACAGCTCAGATAATTGTACCGATAGACAGGTATTTTGTCTTTTTTCCACTTGATTTCAAAGGGCAACTTTCTGCACACGATTCCAGTGAGCTCAGAGGACAGGGCCTGTTAAAAACTGAAACCTAAAACTGGGTGGAGTCGCAAGGAACCCAAGAGTGAAATACAGTAGACAGCGTTTGCTGTGTTTGCCCCCGAGAATTGCGACTCCCACCGAACAACCCAGTAGTACAGTAGAATTGACCCATTGGGTTGGCTAGGCTGTAATCTTATGGGAGCAAATGACTAGGTCTCATTTTCTCAGGGCCACTGGTTCGTTCAAACCATAGACCTTCCAGTTAGTAGCTGCCACTTCAAAATAGAGTTAGCAGGGCTTCTTGAAGGTCAAGGCGAAACTCATTGCTGTCCAATGAGCCCCCACTTCGAGGGACCCTGTAGGACAGAGCAGGCTGCCACATCTGCCTACCATGGAGCTCTGGAAACCCAGTGCTTCGGCCACCACCACCAAGGCTCCTTTGAAGACTATATGTGGGGCCTGGAAACCTCACTACCATTGAGTCAGTTCCAACTCATAGTGACACGATAGGGTAGACCTGCCCCTTTGGGTGTCTGAGACTATAACTCTTTATGGGAGTAGAAAGCTTCAACTTGAACTGCTGACTTTGTGGTTAGCTGCCCAGCACATAGTCCCTAGGGCTCCAGGGACATAGGAAGGAGGAGCAAAATGCCACTCCTGACTTCTGCACTGTGGTGGAAGAAGGGCAGTGCCTCCAAGCTCAGGGGAGTATGGGACAGTGGGGAGGCACTTACATCCCTCAGTTAGTGCCCCTAGAAGCCTAGAAGAGGGAGTATTTAGAGAGCCATGAGAGGTGAGTGAGGGGAGGGTGGCGGGGGAGGGGGACGCGGACTTGGCATTTTGATGGGCCACGCTCAGCCTCTTCCCCAGGTAGTAGGAAGGTGAACAGACTGGTACCAGGTGAAGGACCACATCCTGGACCCCGGTTGCCCCAGTGTACCTGGAGAAGATGGCACATCCAGTGGAGAGAGGAAATTGGGGAGTTCAAAGGGAGAACTCACACCTTTTGATTCTTAAGTAGCACTACCAAAGGACAGAGTAGCCAGCTGTGCTGCTTACATTACAAATGCATCTGGTGAATCAACAGATTCAGACAGATATGAAGGTGGGCTGCCTGGAAGCGGGTCTGGCTTGGAGAGGGCTTTTTCTTTTTCTTCATCACTTCATTTCCTTTCTTGGAAAATGATTTCCTGTTGGGACTGGTGATGATGACCTAGCTCCCTTGAGCTTGGGGGAGAGCGGGTCAGATTGCCCACCCCATGCCTCTTACCCATAGAGTTTGAATGTCCTCCAGAAAAGTGATTTCTACCCTGAGACTTTGGGGCACTTGATCTGGAGCTGGGGGAACAGCCGCGTGGGAAGGTGCAGATCCCGTGGTGTGGTGCTTCATAGGTCCAGGTGGAAACGACACAGGCTAGTTCTACCACCCTTGTTTTGTTAGGAAAATGCTGTTTTCCCCCGAACTGGTCAGGTGTTGCTGAGTGGAAGCCCTTTGGCTTCACGCAGGAAACTGCCTCTCTTGTTGACTCTGCGCCTTTGTTGAGGCCAAACTTTTTTTTTCTTTTCTCTGTAGATACCTTCTTTTTTCCCTTCCCTGATTGCTGGACCTGTCCATTAGAACAGGAAGTTATTTTACATGTTAAGGCTGCAGGTTATTTTGTATTGGCTCTAAGGCTTAGGATCAAGAAGTATAATGGAGACCCAGGTTTTGGGGGAGGCTTAGGCCCCCCCCTGAATGACAATAATTCTCCAGCTTTTGAAAATGTCTTGCTAATCAACTATAAGGGACGCCCTTTGTCTTTTGGAGGGTGCCCTGGTAGTAGATGGTTAAAATGGGAAACTGCTAACTTATACCGTTGGTGGCTTGAATCCACAGGACTCTGGGAGAAAGATGTGGCAGTCTATTTCTGTAGTGACTTACCGCCTTAGAGACCCTGAAGGACAATTCTCTTGGGCCCTAATGAGTCACTGGGAGTTGGGATTGACTTGATGCGTGTGCATTTTAGTTTTGTCTTTCTGGGGTCCCTGGGTGGTACAAATAGCTACTAACCAAAAAGGATGGAAGTTTTCATTCACCCAGAGGTGTCTCTGAAGAAATGCCTGGTGATCGATTATGAAAAATACCTAGTCTTTGAGTGCACATGGCGTATGGCCGTCAATAGAAATCAACTGGACAACAGTTGGATGGATGTTTGTCTTCAGGGCATCACAGACCCACTGCCATCATCAATTCTGACTTGATAGCAGCCCTATGGGGCCAAGTAGAACTGCTCCCTAGATTTTTAAAGCTATGAATCTATAGCAGCAAAAAGCCTCATCATTCTCTCATCTAGCAGCTGGTAGGATCAAACTCCTGATTGCTGTGGCAAGTAGCCCAGTATGTAATGCATTAGGCTGCCAGAGCTCCTCTGAGAGCATCACTAGAGCCTCATATAAAATAGGTTAGTCAGGGAGATGCAGGTAGAATATATTGTCGGGGAGTGTTTTGTTGTTGGTTTTTTTTAAACATTTTATTAGGGGCTCATACAACTGTTATCGCAATCCATACACACATCAATTGTGTAAAGCGCATTTGTACATCATTCT